TCTTTTCCCCTCAAATCGCTCTGAACTCAGAATAAGTGATTTCTTTATTATATGACTTTTGCAGGTGGGGTCAGTGGAAGAGTTTCAGGGTCAAGAGAGAAAAGTCATCATAGTTTCTACTGTCCGTAGTAGCGTCAACTATGTCCAGATGGACCAAGACTTCAACATTGGCTTCCTCTCAAATGAGAAGGTGTATATACTTAATCTCTATTGGATGAGTAGCCATTTTTACTAGACTAAACCACACAACCATACAAAAGTTTGGGTTTGAAATAGTCTCTTATACACTTACTACGGCTACAATTAATTGATCAAAAATACAATAAAAGTACAATTTAAAATGACAGGGTTTTTTATTCTTAATATCTTTAAAATGTCGTTTATTCTTGTGACGACAAAGCTGAATTTTCCGGTCTTCGGTGTCACATGATCCTTGCATGCTGATTAGCTGCTCAAGAAACATTTATTATTATAATCAATGTTGAAAACAATTGAATAGAAAGTTCAAAACAACAGCATTTATGTGGATTGGAATTTTTTTGTAACATTGTAAAGGTTGTTATTGTCACTTTTGATCATTACATGCATCCTTGCTGAATAAAAGTATTCACTTTGTTTTTAAAAAAAAAAAACAAGTTAACCAACCCTAAACTTTTGAACAACTATGGGCATTTGTGGAATCTAATACCGGTTGTTTTAGCATGAGTAAAAGTTACAAAGTTTATCACAGAAGCTTGTAATCATGGAAAAATGAGGAAAAGAGGTCTAATGCATTTTTCTGACCATCTGTTTGGACTTAGTTTAGAGAAATGATGCCATCCTGTAGTAAACGCTTTCTGTTTCCCACAGAGGTTTAATGTGGCCATGACGAGAGCCAAAGCCCTGCTCATTGTGGTGGGAAACCCAGTTATCCTAAGCAAGGATCCTACTTGGCAGAGGTAAGACCCTAGTTATGGTAACCCCATGGCAACTAGTCCCAATCTTTAATGGCATGATAGCAGACCATTTTGAACAGCAAGCTTCAATCTGATTGGCTGCCAGCTTTGTTTATAACATACCATATTAGTATTTCTAATGCAAAACATCATGTCATTAATTACTCATCCTCATGTCGTTCTAAACCCGTAAGACTTTAGTTTATCTTCGGAACACAAATGAAGATATTTTTGATTAAATCTGAGAGCTTTCTGTCCCTCCATTGACAGTTACGCAACTACCACTTTGACAAATTTTCTGAAGAGACTTGATCACTTTATATAATAAACAGATTTAGGCTATTATTCACTTATAGACATTGATCAGCAAATATAAACTGGAGCTCAAACGTGCTGCGTAACACGAGAATGAACCTCATTGGTTCTCGCATGTCAAGTGAACAAGCTTGAGCTTCCGTGAATAAAAGCCTAAATTCAATCTGTTTATCATAAAGCGATTATGCTTCTTTAGAAGATTTGGACTAAACCACTCAATTCATATGGATTACATTTATGAACTTTTTAAAGCATCAGAGTGGTAGTTTGTGTTCAGAGGTTGAACGAAAGTCTTACGGGTTTGAAACGACATGAGGGTGAGTAATTTTCATTTTGGGGTGAACTATCCCTTAATCTGTTCCACACTGTATGCTGTAGTTTATTAGTGTGCAATTATTATTTGTGTAGGTTTATCCGGTACTGTGAGCTGGAGCAGGGCAACACTGGCTTCGACTACAAAGATGCTGAAGGAGAGGAGGATGTGGTCAGCCGTCTGGCATCTTTAAAAATCAGCTCTGAAGGTAGGCAGGCTTACATAACACATCCAGACCCGAAGTGTGAGTGTATTATGTGCTCGTATGACTCATTGCGTGTTCATTTCTAGATGCGGACGAGAGTCCACTACAGCAGCATGTGCACCCGGAGTGGAGAGCTGAACAATGAGGACCAGATTCACAACAGTTTACATCTCGGGAAAATGTGAAATCGCTTTTTTTTTTATCATTAAAGCAGTGTTGATTTGTCATAGCAGACTGATTCATTTTATAATTTCAGAAATTATGAAACATTTCAAAACAGTCTATTTATATACTACTGGAGATTTTAGCCCTTATGCAAACTGATGTAGATCAAAGTTCAGTCGCAATATCACTTTTACTAATCAATATTCTTTATTAAGTCTTCATTTCTTTCATTCAAAGCGCTTTATTTTGTTTCCAACAATGCACTATTTACTCATTTCAAATTCATTGAAACAGTGTTTCCAGCAAGTAGATTTTTAAAATGGCTATTAAAAACAAAAAATATAAACCAGTTCTGAAATTTATGTCAATATGTAATTGCAAATTATGGCAATATACAGATCTTGAACTTTTTTATTTTTAGAGAAACTTTTTGTTTAAAGAAATGGGTTTTATATTATGACATTAAGAATATTTTCAGGAATGCATGACTTTATGGCTACTATTTTGTTGTGGTATTGTTTTGTATATGTTATGATTGTACTTGGAAAAAAAGGGCAGAAAATACTTGGCAAATTATTTTTCAACAGTAAATTACGCAACATTTGTACGATGGACTTATCATTGCATGTCATTTCGCACAAAAGAAAAAACGAGTGCAACGTTTTTTGTTTCGAAAAAATAGTTTATTAACATAAGTTGGTTTCACTTCATTCAAACAACTACCACTAGTCCCGTTTACAAAGCATTGTTACTATGAGCACTCATAAAAATCTGGATTAATAAATCAAAGCAGGTTGATCTCAGAGACTGGTTGCTGAAGTCTTTTCCTCATGCTGAGAATGACTTCACAAAGATCATGGGTCTATTCTCACACCTGCGTCGAGGATGTACTCCACAAATTAGTACTTTAAAAAAAGATTAAGACCAAGTTCCTCCTTTATTTGTGAGTAGTGTGTAGTTTGTATGTAGTCTAATGGGATGTTCCTTGTGCATTCAGTGCATTGCAGTCAGTATTTCAATAATGCCCTGTTTAATAAATTAAAATCCATGGCATAGTGTTCCATGCGTTCAAGAATTATACAGATGCTTATTATTTTAACCATCTGTGCACTTCTGATGGACCTAAACATAAAACACCACAAGAAAGATATTTTCTCACTCTTTTTCGATGAGCCTCACAAAGAAATGCCTGGGTCATATTTCACCTTAAAATAAACCATATATATATATATATATATATATATACACAGTGTATATATGGCCATATATATATATATATATATATATATATATATATATATACAGTATATATATATATATATATATATATATACTGTATATATGTGTGTGTGTGTGTGTAGCATTAAAAAAATGTAGAATCATAAATTCTATATTTAAATTTTTAATGATATATGTATAACATTAAATTAAATTTAAATATTAAATTTCTACCCAAATATTTTCATTTTCTTAATGCAAACTATATTTTTGTATTTAATTTTTAGCTGATATATATGAAGGACTAAAAATAAAAAAAGGAAAAATAAATAAAAGTAGAAATAAATAAATGCAGAAATAAAATGAAAAAAATAAAGATTTTTGTAATATAAATGGCTATTTCTGTATTTTTACATGTATTTATTTCTTTTTTGTGCATTTATACATGTATTTATTTACGTATTTATACATTTATGTATTTATTTATTTATATATTTCTACATTTATTTATTTATGTATTTTTACATTTCTACATTTATTTATTTATGTATTTCCACATTTCTTTTACTGCGCTTGTATGCTAATTGAGTGAATGCTGCGACTAGTTTGTACTAGGGCTGTCAACATAATATATGTAGGTGCACTGTGTATAATTAATATATGAAGAGTTCAGATGCAAAAGCCTCTAAGTGCCATTTGAAATTTTCTTCTAGAATGATCATTTTTATCAAGCTTGTATATTTAAGTTCAGTGATTTCACTTAAATGGCAATGATAATTACCTATTAATTGTTATTTAAGTGAAATTACTGAACTTAAATATACAAGTTTGATAAAAATCATCATTAAAGAAGAAAATTTCAAATGGCATTTAGAGGCTTTTGCATCTGAACTTTTCATATATATATACGGCATCTTCTTCCGCTCATCCGGGGCCGGGTCGCGGGGGCAGCAGTCTAAGCAGAGATGCCCAGACTTCCCTCTCCCCAGACACTTCCTCCAGCTCTTCTGGGGGGATACCGAGGCGTTCCCAGGCCAGCCGGGAGACATAGTCTCTCCAGCGTGTCCTAGGTCTTCCCCGGGGCCTCCGCCCGTATATATATACATATATATAAATACACACATGCTTGTATAAATTTAAGAAATATTTTCATGTATATAGATTTATTATGCTTTATATTATATATAAATATTTTATATATAATTTTCTTTTTAAATATACATGCATGTGTGTGTATTTATACATATACAAAATAATTATACACAGTGCACCCACTTATATTATGTAAACAAAAATTTATTTTGGATGCAATTAATTGTTTGACAGCCCTAGTGTGTACAGTGTAATACAATCTATGATAATGAGCTATGGTAATGAGTCAGGCGATGCTTAACTGTGGATCGTCCATTTTCAGCATGGCAGTCAGGTCAGAAACGTTCCCATTTGAAATCATTAGCATTTGCTTGAACAAAAGTCTCCATCCAGGCAACATAAAACTCAAAATAGCTAAACTCAGCATTACAGAGTAGGCTTCCTTGTACCAGTGAAATCAAGGCAGTAGTAGTAGATTTGATCATATCGCTCTAACCAATCCTGCTTCAGACTGATGTTGGAACCCCCCACTCAATTAACATACAGGCGCAGGGAAAAATAAATGTGGAAATACATAAATGTATAAATAAATAAAATGTAGAAATAAATTTTATATATACATATAAATGCATAAATAAATACATAAATAATGTAAAAATACTGAAATAGCCATTTATATTACCAACATGTATTTATTTTCACTATATTTCTGCATTTATTTATTTCTACATTTATTTATTTATTTTTCCTTTTGTCATTTTTAGTCCTTCATAGATATATGACCCAAAACACATTCTTAATTGTTTTTGTGAATTTCCTATTTTACAATATCAGACCAGATTGAAACAGAGCTCCACCACGCTAATGAATTAAACACTCGTTCAAAGTCAACACAGACAGGAAACATGTGGCTGGATTTATGTAGCATTGATAATTTACCTCATGTCAGACATCTCATGTCAGCAGCAGACAGTAGCGGAAGTGACATCACCAGTATGGATTCTACACCAGTTAATAAAAGCTACAGCTCTTCTAGAAGCACAACGGCGTGATTAGCTAAGGTTTCGAATGATCCGAACACATCATGATTACTGGCATGCAACATTACAACAATGATCGTGACCAAACGCATGCATGCACATAACCGTTCATCTCATCTCCACCCGAACGCATTACAGACTGATATAACTAAAGGCACACAATTCTGTGGGAACTGGAAAGGCACTCAAGGCCTTTTCCAACTAATATACATTTGTTAACAATCATCAGTTTGTGAATTTATTTGACGTTTCGCAACGCTAGACACCTTCTAAAGTGATCGCACCTTAAATGTAATATTTTCAGTAACAATTCTCAAGCATGTGTGAGGACAATACAGTCAGATCATATGACGGCATGAGCTCAGCCTAAATATTTGAGTCAGGTTCAACCAGTTTAATATCTATAGAGCTCAGTCCATCTGCACATGTGTGTGTTTATGCCTGTGTGGCGGACAAAAACGACAAATGTCACGCTCCAGGTTGGTTTTAGACCTGACTGAGCCTCCGAATTCCATGTAATTGATATTTATTTGAGCAATGAAAGCTATATACTCAACATTACTGGAGATTTATCATTTTTAAATACATTTAATTGGCTCATAGGAGTAACTACTATAAAATTGTGTACTGTAGAAGACACAGAGAAGCTCAAAACACACACTTTACATTCAAATTGTGGAGGGAATGATCATGAAGGCACTGGTTTTCATTACCAAATTCTGTGCTATTAACAGATTTCTACGTGGTTAAATTGTTTCTATTACAATAATATGAAGATGTTTTCACCAGAGTATAATGGTCAATGGATAAATATGCAAAAATACAAGAACGTTGTGACTGACGTCATCCGTATAGTAGAAACTGGAAATTTCCGAAAAACATTGTGCCATAGAGAAAAACTAAATCAAGATATATAGTGACATAGATATATTTTGATCTAACCTGCCTTTCTGTCCATTTAATGCATATTTTTCTGTTTACTTTCCTCCATTTCCCCCCTGTTGGTTTGCGTGAAATGTGACATACAGTCCAGTGTATTTATGTTTGTTTGGTCAAAAACATTTTTTTGTGTGGAGTTTGGTATTTCTTGTTCAGCGCGGGGAGATCATTCTGGAAAAAGACCGGAAAGTTCTCTTACAACAGCAAGCACCCATTCCTCTTCTTCCTCTTGCGGACTTGCAGCGCCGCCCTGGTGGCCATTTCGAATACCTCCCTCACGCCCTCCTTAGTCTTGGCTGAGCATTCCAGGTATCCAAAGGCGCTAATACGGTTGGCCATGTCTCTGCCCTCCTCAGGTTTAACCGGCTCCTGCGAAACAGATGAGTTGGAACTGAATCATCACATTCAATAAGATTTAGAAGCAAATTACTGTTTAAACTGTGTGAACGATGGACGTCAGAATCGCGCGACTGCAGCTAAAGCTTGACTTATGACATGCAACGTCAATTCTGCTCGCCAAACGAATAGATTTAACTTAGGCCATCTGCCCAGATAACCGAACACTACTGCTGACACATCATTTAAGGGGCGCGGCATGATAGCGTCAGTCATTGATTATTAGAGATTGGATTGATCGCTTGAGTACGAGGGGTTTGACAAATGATAATGATCAGGCCTTCTGGAGTGACAGTAATGCTGGCTGCTAAGAGCTTTTTAATGGGGCTCCCCATCGTGGTGATTCGGCAGGCCCCGGGAACACACCTGCTTCATCTTAGTCAGCTCTCTCCGTGTGTGCTCGTCGTTCCGCAGATCTTTCTTATTGCCCACGAGGATTATGGGAACGTTGGGGCAGAAGTGCTTCACCTCTGGCGTCCACTTTTCTGGGATATTCTCTATGAGATCACACACATTCAAGATTGATATATCATTTTAACACAAATTTGAATTTTATAGTATAATCATGCACAGAAATAATTAAAGCTGCGGTCCATAACTTTTTTGTTTTAAAAATTTACAAAATCTATATAATAAGAACATCATCCATTTTCCTAATTGTGTTTTTGTCTTATCTTGAATCGCTACTGTCCACCTATAATAAGTGTTTATATCGGGACTATTTTAGACTGGCATGGGTCGTCCCGCTTTGGAGTAACCCAGCAGTGCCTGTAGCTCCGGCTACAATGTTCTTCCGCACAACGCATGCAGTTCTCTTTATTAACCACTAGAGCACCAAAAGTTTCGGACTGCAGCTTTAATAAAAGAAAAAAATAATATGCAATTATTAGGGCTGTCAAACAATTAATCATGATTAATCGCATCCAAAATAAAAGTTTGTGTTTATATAATATATGTGGGTGCACCGTGTATAATTATTTTATATATATAAATACAAACACATGCTTTAATATTTTCATGTATATACTGTATATAGATTTATATATAATTTGTATGATATGTAAATATAAATATTTTATATATAAATAATATTTTTTTCTTAAATATACATGCATGTGTATTTATATATATATATATATATATACATATATATAAAATAATTATACACAGTGCACCCACATATATTGTGTACACACAAACTTTTATTTTAAAAGTGATTAATCGCTTGACAGCCCTAGCAATTATATAATACATATAAAAAAAACAGTTTACAAACTTTCAAATATACATTATAAATGAATTATATATGTGTATATGAATTATATATGTGCATATATATATATATATATATATATATATATATACATAAATACACACACACACACACACAAACATATAAGTATGTGTATTTTTCACCTAAACTTTCAAATATACATGAATAAAACAATAATATATAAATATATAAAATATATACACACATATGTAGAAAAAAATGTTCATGTATATTTGATTTTTTTTTACAAATTACTGTATCCATAGTTCCAAGTCTGGAAACACTCTATTTTTAAACAAAGTAATACATAATATAATAATGATAATATAATATAATTAGTGGCCGACAGGCAGATATATCATGGATATTTGTCATTTTTTAAATTTCATCATCGGCTGTTTGGTCGACCTGTTAAATTTTTAGTAACAGACAACCAAACACTACAATACTTTCTCATTTACCGTTCTCATTATTCCGAAAATACACATTAATATCATTTAAACTTTGTATAACAAACATTTAGTTTCACAAACCTGATCGACAAACATTAAACCGATGCTGCGCTATATTCAATTGCCCACTATCATATTCATGCCATTTAATAGAAATATAATATAACGAGAAAGTCTTTGTAGGTACTGTAATTTGAAGGAAAAATGGTGACAAAAAGGTTAAATAATACTATAGTGTTATAAAACTTTGTTTTATGATGTAAATGTGACCCCAAAAAGTGTGAGTGAAATAAGGGATTTGCCCCAACAAATCCAATCCTATTATTGATATTAAGTAATTCATGTTTGGTGGTTCCATTACATTTCACTGCTGGGGGAATTATGACAGGTTTATTTATTTATTTATATATAATATTGATCTTTTGAACTCTGCTGAATCAAGTGACTGAATTCTGAACAATCTCAGAAATGTCTGTGATAACTTTTAAACACAAACTTATATCATTTGTTCAAGCTTCCCGGCATTTGTTATAACAAGGAAAACAACTGGGATGTTCCTTTCGGGAAGCTGGTGGAGATAAAGGACAGTGATGTCATGGACACAAGTGTTATCATGATGCGCCTCGACTCTTCAAGACAAAACACAGGAACTTCCTGTATGAACTGATGACTTAGTGAATTGTATTTCCAGTAAGAATGGCCTTGACACAAATAAGAATGACTCAACATTCAAATACAAAGCAGATTTTGGGTTTTTTGGAAAACATGATTACCTAAACTGTCGGGACTGTCTATGGAGAAACACATGAGAATTACATCTGTGTCTGGGTAAGACAGAGGTCTCAGGCGATCATAGTCTTCCTGTCCTGCTGTGTCCCACAAAGCCAGCTCCACCTGTGGATCAAAATTGGACAGGATGAGTCAGACGTCAGTTACAGCCAGCCAAAGCCTTTAATGATCTCTACAGCACACTGGACTTCGCATCATGGGTTATTTATTTGGACAAAAGCAGAAGGACGGGAAGCTAGAATTTTACTTTGTGACGTGTTGAATATGAATACTTTTCTCACACAAACTCATCTCTTTGCTTCAGAAGGCTTTTATTAACCCCCCAGAGCCGTGTTGAGCATCTTTATAATGGATGGATGCACTTTTTTGAGCTTCAAACTGATCGTTGCAATCCACTGTCATTATAAAGCTCAAAAGCGTCAGGGTGTTTATTAATATAACTCCTATTGTATTCGTCTGAAAGAAGAAAGTCATATACACCTAGGATGGCTTGAGGGTGTGTAAATCATGGGGTAATTTTCCTTTTGAAGTGAACTACTCCATTAATACACACTTTAATACACACCATGCAACCCTAGTCTCCCTTAGGAGTGTAAAACCCACTATACAATAAGTGAGGCAAAAAAAGAAAGAAAAAAAGAGCATTACACATTCCTAAATGAAACAGTTCAGGCTTAAGACAGCTTACGTGTGTACCTCCTTCACACAAGCCCTTTCTATTTAGACCTATACAGACCAGGTATATATTCAGGTTATGATGCATTGACAAATGTAGTTTTACCTCTCTACACTCATGCAGATGCACCACTATAGAATTTCTGGTGGTTTATAATTTATTTTTTCATAATTTATTTATTTGCACCTTTTTAGATGATTTGAAAACCATGTTATAAAAAGGTTAAATTGTCTGATAACTTTAAGAGAGTGACAAATATTCATACAGTTCAACAGGAACTCTATTTGAGATTTAATTTCTTGTTTTATAGTTTTTCTGTCACATGACAACAAAATGGATATATGTTGGTTATACATGTTGATATTTTAAAGGGATAGTGCACCCAAATTTTTTTATTATCTTCTTTCAGACAAACAACATTTTTAAATATAACTTTCATACGAGTTATATTTTAAAAAAGCTTGGGTCTTTCAAGCTTTATAATGGCAGTGAATGAGGGGGGGGGGGATTTTGAAGCCCAAAAAGTTTTCAAATATTGATTTTATTTTAAATCGATCATTTTAAAACTTAAATACATTAAGTTAACATTTCAGCCTTTTAATAAGCCAACACCATAACAACAACAAAACAAAGTCAACAATGGTCATTTTCAAGTCATTGTATGTATAAAATGCATTTGATGTTTTATGAATAAATTAACAGTAAAAAAAAAAAATGAATGTCTGAATGAATGTAATGGTCAAAATGGGTTAAAAGTGCCTTTCTACACTAAAAAAAATTGATGTAGAAACATTTTTCATTCAGAAATTGCTAAAAAAAATATATAAACACAGAAATTAGAATGATTGTACAAGTTACACTTAAATGTTGAAATAGAAAATCAAAAAAAAAGTATTTTCTTGTAAAACATACTCCAATTATCTTTTATTTACAACTGTGAACAATTATTTTTAGAGTTCACTTTCTACTTTCAAAATCAGAGCAATGCTGATCATTTTGAAAAAGTATTATCAGATTCAGCCACGGATATGGTGTCAGATATATTGAGGATCCCTAATGTAAAAGCAAATGAACTATAAGGTATCAATCCTTCACATATGTCACTCTTCCCTCACATAATCTGTACAGGGCAACAACAAGCCTGGGCTTATCCAATCACAAGCCTAGTTAAACGGCAGATTAGAGGGAATCAAACTACATCCCTTCTGCTCTGCTGTAGGACTGAAGCTTAGTTTCATACCGCCGCTGAGTCATACACAGAGCCTGATGCCACATCATTACACAACCTTTCCTCAAATCACTGAGAGAGGAGACTATTTTTCCCTCTGTTGTGCACTGATCTGAAGCTCTACATCAAAAATCTGTTCAGTGCAGAGTAAAGCAGCCCATAATGCAGCTTTGAATGGCTCATCGTTTTTCAAAGAGCCTGCATAGGTGGCATCAGCCAAAAATGAATGCCGTATCAACAGCAGAGCGAGTCTCAGAGCAAGATTATGAAGATAAATGTATTTTTCCTCTTTAGAGAAACATGCACTGCTGAATCAGGAATGTGTATTAGGTAAATAGAGACAGTTTTTATGTTGACTTTAAAATTTATGTTTATCCACCAGCGCGAATAAAGTAGAGAATGTTTCCAAAGGCCGGAAAGATTTATTCTTCTTCGCCACTGGGAAGCTTCTACATTTTGAGAAACCTAGCAGCGAAACACTCCAGAGAGAGAGAGAGAGAGAGAGAGAGAGACGGGGGGTTAAAAGAGATGCCATCCTGCTCCTTGACTTCAACATTTCCTGTGCTGGAGACACAGAGTGAGCCCAACGTCCCCCCAAAAAACCCTCTTCCATCACAGGAAATGAAGTGGTCGGTGTAATCGTGCTATATAGGGTTGGCGAGTCACAGCAACAGGGGCGGGGATATCTTGTGTCCAGTCAGGAAACCAGAGAGAACAGCCATTTCCTGTTTTGCCAAGTCCCCTTTAGGTTTCATAGTGATCAGGGCTGCAAAACATCAGATCTATCAGACCCCTTCACGTCACCCATTCCAATGCAGTGTTGTTTATATACTATTATAGTGATTATTCATATTTTGAATTGGCTTAGTTTTATATTTCTAGTTAATTAGAAGTTAGTTCTAGTTCTAGTTAGTTCTTTATTTCTATCTAGCTTTAATTAAATTTTTTTTAAGTTAGTTTCAAGGCAACATTCTTAATTTTTTTTAATCTAATATTTATGTTATTTTATTTTATTTTATTTCAGCTCAAATTCAATTACTGAAAATTATTTTTCAGCAGTTTTAGTCCACAATAACCACCAAAGTTTCAAAACAATTGCTATTCAATTAGTAATTTTGTTACGCATATTTTTTTTGTTTCCATTTTTTTTTTTTCAGTTTTGGTAATTTTATTACTTAAACCCATTTTATTTCAGTTAACCATAATTTTCATTAGTTTTTCATCTAATATTTATATATTGTATTATTTTTGCTTTATTTCAATTACCAAAAAATATTTGTAATAGTTTTAGTTCTCACTATAACAATGATCCATAAAATCCCTATTATTTTACACTAACTGGTGCAATTGTTTGGATAAATAGAGGATATACAGATATACCAGACTAAAATAACAACAGTGTTCACAGATTCTAAGCAGGTTTCAGGATGAACATGATGGTAAAACTGACTAATGAAAACAAAACTAACGACACGTTCTGGGTTACTTGCAGATCTCAGCTTGGGTTTCACAATTAGCAATTTCCAAAACCAAACCTCGGGGTCTGGAAATATTATTAAGATGTGTTGCATAAAAACAGGCTTTGGGGGGTTTGGAGGCGGCCAAGAATCAGTACCAACCTGTTTGCTGTCGACTTCGATATCTGCAATGTAGTTCTCGAACACAGTCGGCACGTAGACTTCTGGAAACTGATCTTTGCTGAACACTATGAGTAGACAGGTCTTCCCACATGCTCCATCTCCCACGATCACCAGCTTCTTCCTGATAGCAGCCATACCTGGAGAGGAAATATGAGATTTGCTTCAACCACAATCGGCTCCATGTCATGAAAAGAATCTTTCGAGCTGAATGCACTATGGAAAAGTACTGTAAGTTTGCTCCAGTTAGAGCAGCACTGGATAAATTGAGAATAACGATCTCGAACAGAGATCATGAATCTGATCACACAACTAAACAAAATAACAAGCAAATCAATTTCCTAGAGGTTCAGGTTTAATTAATCTAATTGAATCGTTTAAAAAATGTTTTGAATGAATGATTCAATGACTCACTCATAAAGACTTCACTTGGTTCATTAGTACTGTATGAATCAGTTTTTTGAACAAATCTCTTGAATGAATGATTCAATGACTCGCTCAAAGACTTCACTTGGTTCATTAGTACTGTATGAATCAGTTTTTGAACAAATATCTTGAATAAATGATTCAATGACTCACTCATATAGACTTCACTTGGTTCATTAGTACTGTATGAATCAGTTTTTTGAACAAATCTCTTGAATGAATGATTCAATGACTCGCTCAAAGACTTCACTTGGTTCATTAAAGGGTTAGTTCACCCAAAAATGAAAATTCTGTCAGTATTTACTCACCCTCATGTTGTTCCAACCCCGTAAGACCTTCGTTCATCTTCGGAAAACGAATTAAGATATTTAAGATATTAAAATCGCTCCTGCATACAGTCCATAGGCTTCTTGAGGGACTGGCTCTTGCCGTCCCCGAAAAGTCATAAAAGACATCGTTAAAATAGTCCAAGTGACTACAGGGGCTCAATCTTAAGTTTATCAAACGACGAGAACACTTTTGTGCGCAAAAAAACAACAAAAATAACGACTTTATTTCAACTATTCGTTTATTTCTCCCTCTGCGCGAGTCAGCTAACTAGTTTAATAGCGTAAGCTTCTGTTATTGTACGTCACACGCATCACACACACATGACCAGCGTCGACCAATAGTGAGCCTACGTGTGACGTAGATCTACGCAATCACACTACGTTAACGGACTATAGGCTTATGGAGAAGGAAGTGAATAGTTGAAATAAAGTCATTATTTTTGTTGTTTTTTTGCGCACAAAAGTGTTCTCGTCGTTTGATAAACTTAAGATTGAGCCCCTGTAGTCACTTGGACTATTTTAACGATGTCTTCAATTACTTTTCGAGGACAGCAAGAGCCAGTCCCTCAAGAAGCCTATGGACTGTATGCAGGAGCGATTTTAATATCCTAAATATCTTAATTTGTGTTCCGAAGATGAACGAAGGTCTTACGGGGTTGGAACAACATGAGGGTGAGTAAATACTGACAGAATTTTCATTTTTGGGTGAACTAACCCTTTAGTACTGTATGAATCAGTTTTTTAAACAAATCTCTTGAATGAATGATTCAAAGACTCACTCATAAAGACTTCACTTGGTTCATTACTGTATGAATCAGTTTATTGAACAAATATCTTGAATGAATGATTCAATGACTCATTCATAAAGACTTCACTTGGTTCATTACTACTGTATGAATCAGTTTTTTGAACGTATCTCTTACATGAATGATTCAATTTAATATGAATATTTGTAACACAGAAATAATGATAGGCCTACTGTGTGGTTGAAAAAGGCGTTTCATACCTTTACACGACTACTGCCCTCTCTAGCTCAGCAAACACATATTTGAATGTTCGGTGTGAGTTTGTCAAAGGTTTAACTGACAGGCGAGTGAGATCGCGTGGGTGTTTGAATTGAGATCACAACATTTTAACGATTAACCACGTCCAAAAAGTCTGTCTTTGAGTGCAAATTGTTCCTTTGAGTCAGATCTTTCCAAGAATCAGTTCACAAAACTGGCCAGAATGATTCGTTCTTGAATAAGTCATCTCTCTCATGAATGCACCAAAAATATCAAGACATTTCCATGGTCACATCAAGACTTTTAGAAACGTTTTTGTCATTTTGAAGTGTGATAGACCCGCTATCATTCATTTTTATTATTTATTAGAGTGGCTATTTTAAATTCAACACTTAACACCTCTTCAATTATTTCCATGCTTGGTCCTCCAGCGTGACACAAAACTACTTGTTTGGCTCGTTTTTTAAAAGTATATCCCAATGTTATCTTTATCATTCAGCCATATGGTGTCCACCATAACAAAACAACAGACCTGAAGGCAAATGCAAGCCGCTGAATGAAGAGCAGAAGGGGAAAACGTGTAGGTAAACATGATATGAACATCTGTTTAATGTGAACCCGATGCAAAACTCAATCCTCATGGGCTACAAAAACATATCATAACGCCCGCAAGGCTTCTGAACACAAACAGACGTCAAGATCATTTCATAGTGACGGCTATGGAAATTGTCAATTCGTTTAAACAATCAAATTCTACATCTTTTATTTTAACCACATACAAAGTTGTAACAGTTCGATTTAAACCTTGTATAATGAGGTTGCATTTTATTTACTCAGCAAACCCAATTTTTATTCATATCTCCCTCATGTTGAGTGTTATTTCTGGACTCTGGCTACACAAATCAATTTGCATTATAAACTTAACTGGGCGAAAGAGGAAAGCATTTACTCAATCAACTTGAATGTATTATCGCATTGATCCGTCACACTTTTGATCACAAACACCGATTTCTGAAGTAACTCGCTTGCTTATTGTAGCTAGTGATAGTGTGACAATTCTGAGGAAGACGTTGTGAGCGAGGTTGAGCTCGGGTCTTTGTGTGGGCGATAAGAGAGATTTGTCCTGCATCCATGATGAATATGTGCCAGTGGGGAAGCACAGCTGTGCATATCGTCGTTCCAAGCCTCCCAATACTCATCTATTCTTCCTTAGTATTTAAACAAGATCACAAACAGATTAAACACACACTCCTCTACACTGTCTGGGCTTGTTTTAACACGACTACTTATCAACCGGCCTCTATCAGATTGTGCTTCCTTGGAGAAAAAGAACTTTATTTTTAGTACAGCCTGGGCTTCTTTCTCTCTCAAACGAAGCTCCATCCACCCACAGGAAACGCAGGGGCTTATTTCCTAGAAACACAGAGAAACTAATGGAGAAAAGAAGTTGCCGTTTCTGTGACAGAATAAATTAGACAAGATTTGTTGCTCTATACGTATGTGATGCTATACAAAACATTTTAGGAGAATTTAATTGAGGAAAAAAGCAAAAGTTCAGTCTCAATTTTTGTGGAGGGATGCTTTGGAAAATAAATACAAGATGCAACTTAAAGGTTTAGTTCACCTAAAAATGAAGATTCTGTCATTTATTAGGCTACTCACCCTCACGTCGTTCCAAACCTGTAAGACTTTTGTTCATCTTTGGAACACAAATGACAATCTTTTTGATGAAAGTGTCCCTCCATTGACAGTTTTGCAACTACGTACCAATTTGGCGCTTCAAAAAGTTCATAAAGAGATTGTAAAACTAATCCATATGAATTGAGTGGTTTATTCAGTGAACATAAACAGCAGCTCAACCAAACATGATTGATGCGTAAGAACAAATTCATTGGTTCTCGCTGAAGCTCAAACGTGCTGCATAACACAAGAATGAACCTCATTGGTTCTCACACGTGAAGCGAACATGCTTGAGCTTTTACCACAACTGAGGTGTGAGTTGATGAATCTGTTCATATGAAAACACTTCAAAAAATGAAAGTATGAAAAAGTTATGGAAGTCTAAATTTACAGTAAATCAAATATACTGTACTTTATATTTTTTATTTTAGATAAAATATATATTTTACAAAACATTTTTTTACACTAAATTTTTTTAGAGTATTTAGCAGTCTTAGACCTTTCCAACGATATATGGTTTGTCATGACTAGATTAGGATTTAATAGTGATGTAAATTTAGGTTGCCCATATACGGGCAGGTGACAGTTAAGGGCAAAACCGTCAAAAAAAGTCCTGGTTGATCGAAGAAATCTCTTTTCAGAGATATCAAAACAGAAACAAAAGCTCAGAGGAAATTTGTTGATGCTCAGGGGCACTTTTATTTGATAGCAAGCAACTGATCAGCATTGTGTCTTTTACGTAGCACAGTCTGAAATGCATGGAATTCCCTGCCGTTTTCCATTTTCCTGTAAATAGGCCTTTAACTGAAGTCATGATTTATGTGTTTAAAAACATATTAAACCGTCAAATGAGTCATCTGAAAGATGCCTGTACAATTATTGACAAAAGCACACAAATAAAGGAAAGCAGGTAATTCAGGTTACAGAGGCAAACAGACTCAGTTCTTCGCACATTAAAAGAGAAACTCAAATGTGAACAGCACCGGCTTAAAATTGTTTCCTGTCACACATCTGTACCAGACACATCTCAAAGTTCTTCTAAACAAGCATTGTTTTTATAACACAGTTTGTAGTTAAGGGTGGGGAAAGTGTCCAACTATCCAAACACATCTATTTTGAGGTTCAAACTACATAGTAACTTGCAATAAGTTACAGTACAATATATTATTGCAGTTAAAGGGTTAATTCACCCCAAAATTAAAAGGTTGTCATCGCTTACTCTCCCAAACCGTAAGACTTGCGTTCATCTTTGAAGCACAAACGAAGATATTTTTAATGAAATTCTGTCACTCTATTCTAGGGTTGGGAATCAAAAAGGGATTCCAATTCTGGAATCAGATAGCCTACTTAGGTCAGTGTGCACATTTTAATGTGACTTCAAACCATATTCAAGCACAATAAGACACAAAAGAAAACTCAATTTGGTACTTGCACCGTGAGCTGTTTCAAAGTGTGCACATAGAGACGTCTCTCATATACTGTGCAATACTGTATTAAGTTCTCATACGCGTCATCTTATGCTTGAATCACATAAAATTATGCCAAATATCTTTGTAAACAGTCGGTTTTGTCCTAAGTGAAAGTAAACAGTTGAGAAAAAAAAAAGCATGTGTAACACTATATGGGATCAAGCGTGACACTTTAAAGTAGCCAAATAAACCTGCTCCCGTCTGTCATTAAAGGGATACTCCACTTTTTTTGGAAATAGGCTCATTTTACAACTCCCCCGGAGTTAAACAGTTGAGTTTTACCGTTTTCGAATTCATTCAGCCGATTTTCTGATATTTAAGAACATCAGTAACCAGACAGTTTCTGGTCTCATTGACTTCCATAGTAGTAAAAAAATATACTATGGAAGTCAATGAGACCAGAAACTGTCTGATTACTGATATTCTTCTAAATATCAGAAAATCGGCTGAATACATTAGAAAACGGTAAAAACCCAACTGTTTAACTCTGGGGGAGTGGTAAAATAAGCCTATTTCCAAAAAAAGTGGAGTATCCCTTTTATGTTAATTAAAGAACAAAGAAAAAGATACAAATCACTCACTTATCTTCACTGAATATGCAGTGTTACTTTACATTTGATTACAATTTCTGTACCTGAACTTTGTTCAGTTGTATTTATTTGTGCTATTGCTAATTTGTTTTGATTTTATTCCTATTTACATGTCTTTGATAATGTTTGATATTTAAATCCAGTTGTTTTTGCTGTGTTATTTTTGTTAAAACTATATGAAAATGACTGTGTTGTTTAGGCTGCTTTTAGGCTGTTCATGGAAATCACAAAACAAAAAGTTTTGCCAAAACACAGAATCATAATTTTTGACTAAATGTTTTTTTTTTTTTTTTACCTAACTAGAATTAATAAGTAGGGAACATTGATAAGAACAGAAGCTCAATTGTGCTGCGGTGCGTAACACTCACTCATTTTTGTGTTTACAAATCTATTTCCCCATGGTTCCTTAAATACAATCCTGGAGGGCCACTGTCCCGAAGAGTTTAGTTCCAACCCTAATTAAACACACCTGAACAAATTAGCTCTTCAGAGTTACAAGAAAATTGTTGGTGAGTGAGTTTAATCATGGCTTGAGCTACTCAGTGGTCCTCCAGGGATGGTTTTGAGGAACCCTGGCCTAAAGTAAGGTCATAAAGGTTACACAACATACAATAAAATAAAATAAAATCACGTTTGTGGGACAGAAACTAACTAATTTCATATGACGCTGCAAATGACCTCATGAACACCTCATCAATGCAGAAGATAATAAACTAGATAGATCTGGTTTAAGTAAACTGTGATAACGTCTTTGTCCTGTTTTAACTTCCTCTTGTCCATCAGAGAGTGCAGAAGAACCGCTCTCTGTATTCACAGTACAAGTTTTCAAATGTAAACCTTCTATATTTTGATTCATTTCCAGTCTCAGAACACTACTCTGTAATTTGGTCTAACTAGTGTCTGTCTTATCTTAAAAAGTTTTGACAATGTGCCATGTCATGTGACTCAAAAGGCCCCGTCCACATTACTGCGTTTTCGTTTAAAAACGGAGAATTAAAACGAATACGATCTCCGTCCACACCAGCATTTTATCTGCGTATTAGAAACGATCTCCGTCCACATGAAAACGACTGAAAACGCGGATCACGTGACCATTCACCAACACTGGGCATGTGCGTGCCGGTGTAAACAGTGAATGACGAATCAGGGAAGGATACGTCATGACTGATAACACCCAATCATAGAGCCAAGCGTCAGCGTTTCTGAAGTTCTCCGTTTTGTATGGTTTTGTCTCGTCCACACTAAAACGCCCTCCGGAGATTCAAAACGCAGCTCCAGCGTTTCTAAACTTCTCCGTTTTAGGTCTTCGTTTTTCCCGTTTTAGTGTGGACGGGAGGTGCAAACGTAGCAAAAGGTCTCCGTTTTTAAACGAAAACGCAGTAGTGTGGACGGGGCCACATGGTCGCTCAAAAAAATAAAATAAAGGGTGAATGAGCCTTAGGTGTTGTAGACCTTAAATGCATTTCTGCTGCAGGAACATATTTAAAAAGTGTGGCAAAGTTCACCAGATGGCAGGTTGACAAAGGCAGCCAGAGGCTTAATGCAACAGAAAGCACACTGAGGATTCTGGGAGCAGTTTGTAATGCTGAGCTGGTCTGAAACCAGTCAATTTTCATTTTCAGCAAACCTAATCCATATTAGCTCATTTATCTTGGTCTGGGGTCAGACTCCAAGTGAGGTTATTGCACCAAACTATTACATGAGAAGATTTGGATTTATTTTTGCACAAAACAGCAACAAGTTTTACCATCAAACATTGATGCATTATAAGTCTTAAACCATTCAGTCTTCAATCTGTAGTTCAGCAGCATGATACAACTTCTTCCTCTCTCTACAAATTAAAAATGCATTTAATAATCAGAAAAGCAATAAACAGACAGAAGGTGGAAACCAACAGTTAATAAGCTTTGGATTTAGGCGGCGCTCAGTTCTTGTCATTTCCCGACAGGCCTAGTTAATAGCCTTTTAATTCCACTTGTGGCAGACATTATGTCTTGCGCATCAATTGGCCTTAAGTATTTTATAAGTATTAAGTATTTTAAACAGCATTTTTCTAAAGGACCTGCTCGGTTTAATTTGTAATCAGTGTTCGGCTGAATTTGTTAAGGTTGTTAGAATGGCATTTCTCAGTTTAGTTCTAAATTAAGGCTTGGCATTGACGTCATTAGACGTTTTTGGTCCTACAACCTTAAATACACAAAGTCAAAACCTAAACATCAATTTTAAAGCCATTGCATTTTATTTTTAAGTTAAAAAAGGACTACAACTAACAAGGATGTGGGTTTACATGCTTGACTAGGACAAACATTGTATATCAGCAACCTAAGTAAAAATAAAAGGTTGTGTATAACAAAACCTGTGTAAAAATACACTTATAATGTTTTAGAATCAACTTTAGTTTATGCCCATGCTATTTTTACCCTTAAAAATATTATAATAGTATACAAATTAAATAAGAAATAACAAATACTTCTACAGCATCTATTAATCTTAGTGTTAATTTCAACATTTACTATACATTATTCAAGATGTATTTGTTAATATAGTTAATGCACTGTGAACTAAAACGAACTATGAACAGCTGTATACAACTGTTAGTTAAGACTTTAAGTAAATGTTAATAAACGAGTCCTTATTGTAAAGTGTTACCAATATCATATTGATAAAGTGAGATTACAACCCTCTTTCCAACCAAAGCATATCCAGTTGATGACTAGATGATTATTATAAGGTCATTTCTAGTTGGGAAAAAAAAACTGAGCATAGACTTTAGAAATTTCCAAATCCTTTTTCCCAGGCCTGGAAGGAAAAAAAACACACACTTTTGACATTCCCTGACATTTCTAGGAATTCCACTTTCGAGAAGCATGTGAAGACTGTGCTGACACAAACAACAATTTTCCCTCATATCATACAAAAAAAAAAAACACTGAAATCTGGGAATGAACTGAAATATTTCTCAAAGGCTCTCTGAACTCAAGGCTAGGAGTGTAAAATGGCCTACTACAACACCTCAAGGATTAAAGATCAGGCCTGTCTTAAGTCTTATCCAAGCATTTGTTTGCCACAGAACACAGCCTTTGGCCTAAGGCAAATTTGAAGACGGCATTGCTTGTATAGATAAGCAGACATGCATATTGACAGACTCTCTTCGGTGGAACAACAGGTTAGTTAGTCGCTCGGCTGGGTTAAGTGGAAAAGTTTTGAACTCAACTGAAGCGCTGTCGACTGCAACGCCCTTGTATGACTGAAGGAAACTGATTTCCGCACGACTCGAAACGCGAGCAATTAATTAACGTTAGTTCGCAAGAATATATCCAAAACTCACGCGGAGCTTTAATGTGTTTTGTATCAATTTTAAAACACTCTACAGAACTCTAAATGTGGATTCTCACTGTTTAGTATGGGTCAGTCATACTATCTAATCTTTAAACTATACATTTGACATAATTCCCACGTAACCGTGAGCGATTAAAAGCATAAACGAGCTTGTGTGTGAGAACTATCGCAGCTCGCAGTTCACGAGCCACCACCTACTTTTCCCACACCGCCTCAGCAAACTTGTTTTCTACCAAAAGTCCGAAATGTCATGGAAAGATGTCATGTAACGTTAGACAAAATGAAAACAAAAATACCTTATATCCTCGCGGGGGTTATATTCCCGGTCGATAGCGTGTCCGAGTTTAAGGCGCAATGTGGAGAAATTTCACGTTGTTATTGCTGAGAGACGAAGCTCGACTCACACAGAAGACCCGCCCGCATTAATGTGAATCAGTGTCGAGCGAGCGCTGCTGGATGTGTTGACTGACTCTGGTGAAGGAGGCGGTTCGGCTCTGAGGACTGAGGAGGATCACTGCGGTCCCTCCCTCCGACACCGAGAAGAATGACATCATTCTTCTGAAGCTGTGGACTGGAGAGAAGCTGGCCGGTGTCGTTCACCACACAGACCACTAAATCATCAAGCTGCTGTGTTGCCTGGTTCATATGCTATGATCAGCATATTTTATAAGTGAGCACAATAAAACCTCACTGACATGCACTGGGACAAAAACCATAGGCTATAATTATGTAATGGAAATGTAGAACTGTCTTGTTCTTTCTAGAACAAAAATACTTTGCATGAAGGCAAAGGGAAGTTGTCATATGAGTTTTAACCTTCAAATGGTCTTCGTTTCCTGTTTACACTTCTGGGCTTCGAACAATTGATTAATTGTAATAAAAAAATATACATTTTTAATCATACAAATAATATATCTTTTTTGTTTACTTCTCATCTATTCATTAATGCTGTGTTTTTGGAATTCCTCAACTACACCATTAGCTTGCATAGCCTATTAAATATTTTTTTTATGATACATTGCATTTATGCTCTAGTACTAGGCCTTCGTTTCTGTATAAAAAAAATTTTGACGAATTTTTTTTGGCATATATATATATATATATATATATATATATATATATACTGTATATATAAATACATTTTTTTTTCACATTTCCCATTCATTTCAATGTGGGGTCATATTTACCCCGAAGACCAGAAGTGTAAACATTTTTTTACATACCTTCAGAACAACCAAATCAAGCCCAGTTTTTGTGTGTGTGTAGATAGATAATGTATGAAAAGTCACAAAATCTTATTCCACAGAGATGAAGGGAATAAGGGCTAAATGGGCCGATTGAGGGCTAAATGTGGTAAATGATTATATCAATGTTTCATGACCAAATTGCTGTAATTGTTTCACTGTTTAAATTGTGCTGAAAAGTCTATAATAGACTGTTCCATTGTGACATAATTAATCTAATGTCATATATATTTTAAAATACAATTTAATTTAAAATATCAAAAGTAACCATAAAAATACCTCAATACTGTGACAAAAGATTTCTATTTCAAATAAATGCTGTTCTTTCCAACGTTGTATTCATTAATAGGTTTCCTTCATCAAGGTTTCTGCAAAAATAGTAAGCAACTTTTTTCAGCATTGATAATTGTAAGAAATCTTGAGAGGTAAATCAGCATAAGAATGATTACTGAAGGATCGCATGACACTGAAGACTGGAGTTATATTAAAATTGAAAACTCATTTTCACCTGTAATAATACTGTACTTTTGACCAAAAAAAAAAAAAAAAAAATCCAGCCTTGTTGAGAATAAGAGACTTTCAAAAACATTATGTTTTTAATCGTCTGAATTAGATGACAGTGGTCACTAGGTCACAGTGAATTTGCCAATTAAGACATGTTCCTGAATCCTGGATCAACATATTTTGTTGACCCTGGAACAACATTCCTATCTGAAAATGTAATCCTAACCCCTAAACCTAACCCTACCCACAAATTATTCCTAAAATCAGAGGGAAATGATGGATGAATAACACTGATGTAGAAGCACCTCGACCCGTGGTTGTAAATAAGCCTAAACTTGCCATAACCTGTAAACTTGTCTCAAATCTGATTGGTTGATTGGAATGTTGTTCCAGGATCAACAAAGATTTTGACCCAGGAAACCATTGTACTTGGTGAAATCATGTTCACCCGTGGTCACTATCTGGAACAGCATGTTTTATAATCCTTATTATAGTCTTAATAAGTATCTGTAAATAGCTGCAATTGTCCCGCCACAGCAGGGTGCAGTGGTAGCCCAAATAACAAGCACATCATAAACCAGTAACACTCATTTCTCATTCACAATAGAGCAAATTAATGTAGCACAAAAAAAATAACAACAGGGTCATTATAAAAAGGATAGATTTATTTAGAATCACATCATTTGCAAAGATAGCTCATTTGACAATGAATCATCAATTGAAAGGCATAAATCAATTTATACATGTATTATACAACACAGACACAACACTGACATCGAGTAAAGGAAATAAGGTACATTCAAGGTGTACAAAAAGACCAATGACTAAGTTCAGGATTCTCGGTTTCAGATTTGGATCTACATTGTTTGATTTGCGATTCTTTACTGACACAGTTTCAGACCAAATGAGGTTTTATCTACAGCAAAATAAACAGGTCATTCAGCAGTTCAAGCAATCAGTTCATTTGGGTATAGAAAGCCTGGTGCATGTCAATGATGTTTTAGGTTATTTGTACATGTAGATATTTGTACCGATGTAGAGAAAATGAGCTTGGTTCAACTAGTTTTACAGAAGTGTGATTAATACTTGTTCCAGAATATAGACATTTGCATTGGGTCCGTTTAAAACTATGCCTGACTGAACCCGAAACAGCTGAGATGAACTAAATAAAACTATGCATTCACAGAAAATGCCCACTGTTTTTTGTTGTTTGATTGCATCTTGCTATAGAAAACCTTAAAGAAATAGTTCACCCAAAATGAAAATTATGTTATTAATTTCTCACCCCTGTGTCGTTTTACGATCTCTTTATGAACTTTTTGACGCCAAGTCAAAGTGGTAGTTGCGTAACTGTCAATGGAGGGACAGAAATCTCTCAGTTCATTTGTGAAGATGAACGAAAGTCTTACAGGTTTGTAACGACATTTTTCCTTTTTGGGGTGAACTATCCCTTTAAATTCAGTCAACAGAAACATTCTTTGGAGACCGAACAGTTTGGAAATATAATCAGCAGTTTAAATTACAGCTCAAATGGATTCTGCTACATATAAAGTGCTTCGTTTTTATTTCCCTTGCCATCAGGGCGTTGATGTTTAAGCAGTTTTGGCTTATTCCTTTTGCCACACTGAGATTCAGATTAAAGAATACCCAAACATTATGAGCCCTCCAGTCCCGTACTGACTTGCGGAGGTTTGCGTTCGACAAATCAGAAAGGAGATGGAGAGCGAGAGAAATGGCACTTGATGACGTCACCTCACACCTGACATGGGCTTGACGATATTCATGGTACGACTCGGACGGGGAGAAGGAGGACAAGGGAAAGTTGCATTTAACGTCTCTCATATCCGAGCCATCTGACAGTTTGAAAATGGATTTCTTGGTTTTCCTAGCCCTTTCTCTGGGATGGAGCCAAGGACGTGTCCTGCTGTGCTTGTCCAGTGAAGGCGGACCAACCTAGTCATGTTTCTAACTCTGCCCCGGCCAATGGAATGACAAACGAGGTGATGTCATCACCCGAGCCAAGTCTTTCATTGGGCAGCCGCCAACCTCGCTCCTTCAGGACTCCGCGCGACCGCATCAGGAGGTCTTGTGCTGCTAGAGTGTACCTTTAAAAGCATATAATTACAAACATGACATCATCATTTGAACCATAAAATAAATTAAAAATGACCATAGAGGGCCTAGTCATGACAAACTGTATACTGACATCTGCTGGTGTAACTACTACAACACACCTGATATCAGCAAATCAGCATATTAGAATGATTTCTGAGGGATCATGTGACACTGAAGACTGTGTGTAATGATGCTGAAAATTCAGCTTTACATCACAGGAATAAATTACATATAAACTTAGAAAACAGCTATTTTGAATTGTAATATTTCACAATATCACAATATTATAAATATTATTATTAATATTTAATAATTCTAAAGCCTTGTTTATACCATAGGGTTTACTCGACTCGTCCGCACGGGCGCGAGGCTCCGCTGACTGCGCGCGCACCTCTCCAAACGGACGCCTTTAACCCGCTCAGGCGCGAACTCGGATTCTCACCAGGAATCCGCAGTTAAGTCGTAGTTTGCCGTTTATTAATAGTTTATTAATTGCTAATTCATAAAAGAGTAAATGTAGGTTTATTGGTAGGCTACCTTCACTGCATGTAAACTAGTTAAACAACCTTATTGGAGAATGTTTAAACCTTAATTTTACCAGCAGGGCTTAATTTTACTAGCAGAGCTGAATTCTGCTGCTATTGTAAGTTAGGCTTATTTTGTAAATGTATTTAGACAAGTGCAAACTAGGTGCTTAATGCAAATGTGTTCCTGTTCACAAAATGAGATTTTATGGTCGCCCGTCAATGCAAATGTCTCCGTGTATAGAAGGATCATAAACATGATGGTACAGATCGTACCAGTTCGGCCAGATTCGGTGCCACCTCAATGACGTCGATTTTGCCGCGCGCTCTTGCGGACGCGTCGAGTAAACAACGAGGTTTCAGAAGGTAGTGAAGATGGATGACTGCTGCTGCCGCCGCCGCTGCTTTACGTTACAAACAAATATCAAAAGAAAAAGACGCTTTTGGGTACACGATATCCGTAAAAGAGGAGAAGAGTTGGGAACGCATCTAAACAGTGAAGTCAATGATGTGATAAAAACATTGCCAACACCTTTATGTACAACACCTTTTCACTGCAACTTCAGCAATGTTGTCAACTAGCGCTGGATAGCTGAGGTAATTTTTTGTATCTTTCCTCATATCTTTATCGTTATAGCTGTGGTGTGAACTCTGTTATTCTTTAATATGGAGAACGATTTTTAGAATTATATCTTTATAGTTATCGTGCTGGGTGTGAACGGGCCTTAAGAGACCTCTTTCAAAAGCATTAAAATCTTACTAACCTCAAACCTTTTGAACAGTGGTGTTAGTTGGATTTTATTATTTGCCTTTAGTCTGTCAATTTTGTGAATGTGTGGGAAAAAATGTGTGCGGTTCATTGAGGATTAAAGGTGTCACGATTTCGATTTCAAATCGAAATTGATCTAAATTAATTCACAATCTCGAACTTCGAATTAAAAATGTAATCGAGTATTTGGAGAATCGTGACACCCCTATTAAGGATGAACTGAAGTGATCTCCAGGAGCTCTACCTGTGACCAGGTCAGTTATGATGTAGAGCAAACGCTCACCTCATGGGATCATTGGGCTCACGGCCAGACAGGAAAGTTGTCACTGCCTCCGCAACATCTTTATCAGTTGTAACGTCCCATAGTCCATCAGTACCCATAACCAGGACATCATTAGGCCCATGTTTGTGCTCAGAGATGTTGTATACCTTGACCTAGATGAGAGCATAATTTTATTCTATTTTCATGCAGTTATGATTCATAATATGCCGTATTATTCAAATGTACACAAAAAACATTTCTTGGAGGTTGTACTGGCCACTTAAAGGGGTAGTTCACTTTGAAATTAATTTTTGGTATGTTTTAGCTTACCTCAAGGGCATCCAAAAAAACGAACTATAAAAAAAAACTATATAAATATATAAATACTGTTTGTTTTCTCACACAAACCGCTCATTTCGTGTCTTAGACCATCAATACTTACATTTATGAGTCATTAAATCATGTTTAATTTGGACTTCTCTGTGCATGCTCTTTGAGGTGGACCCCATATACCTGCATTATATGACTGACAGACAAGAACGGTTTGACCTAAAAATATCAAAATTGAAAATACTGTGGAAACAAAGACACCTACATCTTGGATGCCCTTGAGGTAAGCTAAAACATATTAAAAATTAATTTCAAAGTGAACTATCCCTTTAAATCAAGATGAATAAATGGGTTTGCAAATATTTTCACATAAATATTCATTTATATACTCACTTCTGGGCAACAGGATAGGAAGGGTTTGATATGAATGTTGGAGTTGTAGACTTTCAAGTCGTGATCCCCTAAACCACGCGTTACTCCAATAGTAGCCATGACTCGAGCCTACGAGCACACACAGTTGGGTTTTCATGCTTTATGGGGCCATTTCATAGACAAAATGATTTTATACTGTACAAACTGAATATGTAATCACCTAACCCTAAACCTACCCAATACAGAAAACTTTCTGCATTATTAGAGTTTCAAAAACAAACATTCAGTATGATTTATAAGTAGTTTTCCTCAGAAAATGTCTGGTATTGCCTTCCTGTGGGTACATTTTGTCCCCATAATGAAGGATATACCTGAACCACAAACACACACACATTTATGTGCCGTCACAGCAAAAGGGTTATTTTATTATATACATACAAACCTTATCAAACAAGACATTATTCTTCCCTACATCTGGCAGAACATTATTGCATTTCCCATTTGCAACACCTCACTTCTCCTGCTTGTAATAAATAGCTGTAAAAACTGTGTGGAAAAAGCTTCAGACACCTTCAATAGATTATATGTTAAATCAGTAACAAATGTTACTGTTACGCAGCTAAAAATAAAATCCATTTACAGAACCTATTCAAGTTAAATAAAAGTTAAATAGAAAAGAAGCAGAATTATATGCTTACCTTTTTCCCCTCCCCATAAATCAACGGGAACTTGAGATCATCTTCTACAATTGTCTTATATGCCCTAAAACAATAACAGGTAATGGTTATGAATGCAATAAAGTAAAATATACATATAGTATCAAAATATAATTTGGTAAAATAGCTGCTGCTATAATTCATAACTCTTATGTGTGGCTCATAATTACCAGCCAGTCATTGTGTGGTCTCTGTAGAGCATTTTCTTGCCGAGTTCCTTGTGTTGGATGCGTCTGGGGAATTCCATATGTGTAAACTCGTTCCCAAGCAGCTCCGGTTTGAGGAAGCCCTAGACAAAAGAGACACAGACATGATGTAAGTGTTATAGAACTGATGATCTAAAATAGTAATGGAGCAGTCACACAGGATAATGAATAAACAGAATTTACAATGGGAATTCCATTGGGACAATAACACGGGTGACTCACGAGGTACTGTAGGCGTTGTCTTTCACTTTCTGGTGTGAATTCATTGGACATTGGGATGACCTTATTGTTGTGGACAATTATGGCTCTGTGGGGGAATAATATTATTTAAGGCGATTGTATTATGTATTATACAACCTACAGAAACACTGAATGGTAAATAGCAAGAAATAAATGTATGCAGTGATGCATTATTTTGATATTTCTCATTCATTGCTAAAATCCCCAAGATGATCATGATGGGTAACTGTCACAGAAATTGAGTCATTTGGAAACATCCAGGCAAGGTAACATCTTTGCAAAATTAACACAGATATCACCGTTTCTCCCTAGAGACAAATTTATGTAATCTTTTCCTTTCAAGCAATAACAATTTCCTCCAACTTTCATTATAAAAATCAGTTTACTGTGGCAAATATAATACAATGGCCTTTTACAATGACATTACACTCATTAAACTCTTATGAAATGAAAGTTCACAGCTTTAAAGTCAATGAATCTTGTCAAGATTAGAGTCGAGGTTTACAATCATCATGGGGTTTGACCTAAAAATATCAAAATTGAAAATACTGCGGAAACAAAGACACCTACATCTACTAAAACATATCAAAAATTAATTTCAATGTGAACTATCCCTTTAACCCCTAGGTGATATACATATAGCAATTGTAAGTCGCTTTGGATAAAAGTGTCAGCTAAATGAATACATGTAAATGTAAAACCAAATTATTTTGTATACCGTAATTAACTTTTTGATTGTACATTTCCTTCTTTTATCTAAAGATAAAGACCATCTTCTGTAAGCCTGATCATATAACATGCACATTTAATCACTGTACGTTTTTTTAAAGGCATCTTACCTGCTGTCTCCTGCGTTTGCTACATAGAGTTTCCCCATCAAGTGAATTGCCATCAAGGCACAACAGCCACCAGAGATACTGTAAGATTCTTTCTCCTTCTCGATCAGGTCGTCCTGTTGAGTGGCACAACACAAACTCAGTATTTTCTTATTCGTGCCAGTAAAACATGGATGATAGTTCTAACAACATGAATTCTGTCCTTTAATTGTCTATCCTTTGTTGAAAAAATAAATAAATAACAACAAATAAATGAAATAAAAAATTATCCCTTTTACAATTAAGGTCACAATAAAACAATACATAATAATATGATTTTTTATTTTATTTTTTAAAGAACATACAATATGCCATGCTTTAGGGGGGCGTCTCTTAGCACGTTGTGCACCCGCTGCATTATAGAGAGCCTAAGTCCCGCTTCCGGCTCATGGGACCTTATTTCGGAAAAAATATGAATGGTAGTCAATGGCGAGAGACAACTTATCTTTTTATTCCGTCTGAACTGTGCCCTCAATTACACATATGATGTTTGTCAATTTAAAAGATAATTCTGAAAGTCAAAAACTTCGCAGTTTGTCATACAACTGAAGAGTAACATTTAGTTTTATGTGAAAATCACTCTATGAACTACATCTCCCGGGAAGAGAAACGAGATCCGCTGCTCGTGTGTGTGCAGTTTGGTACAAAACACTCAGGTAGGACGGCGTAACGTTACAATTATAACGTAAGACTGTAGAAACAATGACAGACAGCCTCAGTAAAGTTAGCTTCATTCATTGGGAGAAAATGTGCGCCTTTGGGGTTTGTAGTCTTTGTAATTACGTATTTTCACAGTCTTATACCTCAACGGTTTTACATCAAACTGCGACTTTCTTTACTTTAAAATGTATCTTTTAAATTGACAAACATCATATGTGTAATTCAGGGCACAATTCAAACGAGATCAAAATATTTGTTGTCTCTCGCCTTCAATATTTTTCCGAAATAAGGTCCCATGGTGGTCGACCGGAAAGGGGAGGGACTTAGGCTCTCTATAGAGCTGGTAAGTCCCGCCCCTTCAGCGAGCCCCGCTGGACCTCTAGGTTGAAAAATCGTCAATGCAAGTGAATGAGAGAAAATAATTATTTTCTAATCCCGTTCGAATTTTGCAATGAATGTGAACATAAGTTGTCTCTGAATTTTTTATATGACGTTTTGTGTAAAGAATGCTACAATTTAGCGGGTAGAATTTTCATACGGTTAGACTTTGTGTGAGAGAACTTTGTGGACTACAACTCTTTCGACGTGTTTGATCTACATCACCACCACTAGCACACGGATCCCGCTAAACATGCCTGTGTCTTTGGTGCACTCCACCGCCTTCTTTCAGGGAGAGGACAAACTAGTTGAGCGTGGTGAAAACCGTGATTTGTGGAGGGAAAATGTGTTATGCGGCGACGTCACATATGCGACGTGTAGTCTTTCTCGTTATGTCTATTCTACAACTGCTAGCCAAAGATTCATACAATATACTGTCAAACTCGTTACATGAGAAATTATATGAAAAATTCACAGACAACGTATGTTACATTCATGGCGCAATTCAAACGGGATCAGAAAATAATTATTTTCATTCACTTGCATTGACACTTTTTCAACCTAGAGGTCCACTTGGAGTTTTACGGATGGCCGGGACTTACCAGCTCTATGGCCAGGCATGTGCGCTTAAAACAGCATTATGAATAACGCGCAAAAAACTTTAGACTAGGTTTTTACTAGACAGTGGCGGAATTGTTTTCTTGAACTGCAAAATAGCACACACGCCACCTTTTTGCGTCGACCCGCCCAGGAAGCGCAAGTTCAATTCCTAGTTTACCGACGTGCGCTGGGTGCAAGATAGGGCCCTATGTGATCCAGTAGATGCAGGTCATTCTTATCTCTTACAGTTCTCACCATCTGTTTGAAGGCGGTCTCTATGATGCCCATGACCAGGCTCTCCACACTGATGTCCTTCTCCATGTGGAACCGCGGCTCATCCGGGGGCCCGTCCTGGTCCTCTCCATCTAGGCAGGCCCCTTTCTTCGCCTCAGCCTGGAAGGGGCTCCCGTTCTTGGCCAGGCAGATAGGCGGAGGGCAGTTTTGATTTTCTAGAAGATGGGCGACATCGCAAAGCCGATCACGGATGATCCGGTGGAGAATTTTGGACGCCATGAGAGCAGCACCAGAGCCAGCGTGTCCATCAAACACTCCCCAGAAGTGTATGGGAATGCCTGAGATGTCCTGAAGGAATGAGGAAGAGGAGAAGGTGTGTGATTTCTGCATCATTAGTGGCATGAAATAGAATTACAAAAACAATATCTTTCCTCCTACACTGAATGTCATAGTTCAAACAATCAGGTAGCTTCACCCCAAAACTTATGCAATTGGGTGAGCCACGTTAACCAGTTGAAACACAGAGATTTTTTTATTTATAATATTTAATATATTTTAACAAATATTGTTTAAAATAATGGCACTTTACAATAAGGTTTCATTTGTTAACATAAGTTAATGTATTAACTAACAATGAACAATATTATTTTTCAATTTATTAACCTTTGTTAATGTTAATAACAATATTCATGTTAGTTCACAGTGCAATTAATTCATGTTAAAATACAAATGTTGTACTAGTATTGTTCATTGTTAGTTCATGTAAACTAATGTATTTAACTAATGTTAACAAGTGAGACCTTTTTGTAAAGCAACCAAAATGTTTTAAAATTTGCAATATTTTATATAAATATGTATGTATACTTTTCTCTTATTTACTTTAATCTTATTTACTAATATATATATATATATATATATAAATAATACAAATATTTATTTTAAAATTATTAGTTAAAATGATTTATTTTCTCAGAATTACTAAACAGCTGTTTAGCGTCAGTGTCAGTAAAGAAAGATGCTCTTTATTTGAATGCTTTAAGTTTTTAATATATGCTCATAATGTTGCAGTACCAGCTTCTACCAGTAGGTTTAAACTGGATCATGACAACTAGCTGAACCTTGACCTCTTAGTTCAAACAATTGGTGCAATGTTTTCAAATAGCCAAACTGTTTGCACACTTCGGGAACTCAAACTACCAGTGGCTTTCACATCATGCTGGAATAGGAGAGACTGTATTGTACATTGCAAAAAAAAAAAAAAAAATCTATACGCTTCCCCTTTAATTATTGACTAGTGAAAAGTGGTTTTAAATCAATAATACTAGCAGGCTAATCGGATTTATGGGACATAGGTCATTTACACAATTTAGAAAAAGTTCTACAAAAACAGTAGAATGCCACAATGGACCAATCAGTATCAAGTATTTCATAGTCACATAAGACGGCACAATAACATGCAAAGCCTTTTTAAAACCACAAGGGGGCATCTCGACACTTTCTACAGCTTTCCTAGAAATACTCTCCATTCTTAATTTCCTGTCATTACCTGTTGACAAGATTACACCCGCTCAATCATGTCAGATCAGCCGGGAAAGCCTGTGACAGCAGAAAATGTCTGTGGCTGGATCTCTGTTTCTAAAGAGCAAGAGATCCACGTCAAGTGAATATGTGTTCTTTTTATCTTTTTTATCTGCCTGTTTGTCTGACTCTTGCAGACAGGCAACACAGCAGATGATAGGATGATGTAATTGATTTAGAAGAGTTGAGAGAGGGTATTAAGTGGGGGAGGGCAACGTCACGTGACTTAAGCAGAGGCGAAAGAGAGACAGAAGTCACTGTCCTGGTTAATAACCTCTCGTGAGTAAATACTGCTGGAGATTACCAGTCCATCTCTGATTGTTTGAAACCACCCCCGCAAATGAAATATAACGAGAAAATAATTGTTTCTCGTAAACATCAATGAGATTAAATAGGGAGTAAATTGAGGTAAATAATGTCCTAGCAACCATATAGCAACAAAAAAAAAAAAACACTGGATAGAAATGCCCTGGAAATACACTAGCAACTCTATTGTAATGCTATGGCAACTATCCACAAATCCTTCCCTTAATCAAATTAACTTGAACTATATTTATTTTTTCCAAGTAAACCTAAGCACATTTTAAGTATACATTAAAAAATAAATTAGTACTGTACATATAATATCAATGTACTAGTAGTCTACTTTTAAGTGTACTATTTCAAAACATCTTGGGACTGGATTGGCTCATTTTTTGTGTATAAATGTATATTTTAAGTGTGATGCTGTGCCCAAAATTGCATACTCTCTTGAGTATGTCCTTATTTTTAATAACTAATTACTCCACACCTGCTAAAATAAAATTATGTTCTATATATTATGAGTCTGTGTATGCACCTACTCTTTTAAAAATACTTTGAATTCGGACATAATTATTTTGTCACATACTGTTTTTCGGCTGCTATGAAGTAGGGAAGTATGCAGCCTACGAGTAGTAAACTTTGAGTATACAACTACGTTTTTCATTTGTACTGCAACTATACTACAAATGAACGTATAGGTATACTGATAGTTTATACTTGAAGCACATTTTTTAGTTTATGAAAGTATGAAAGAAAGAACAAAAATAATATATAGTAAACTAAACTATAAGTATCATGTTCCTATTTAGGTATTCATTTTTATACTTGAAATATACTTTTAACTGTACCTTCACTCTTTCCTTACCAGCGTATTTAAAAAAAAAAACGTTCTCATCGAGCGGATAATACTTAATTATACGTTTAAGTATAATTACTGAAGTACAAGTATACTTCGAGTACAAGTAAAGGCCAAATATACCTAGACTTTTCTGTCAGTTTAAGTCAAGAGATTTACATACAGTATATTTTTGAGAAGTACATAAAGATTAGACTGGAAATTTAATTGTTTTTATACTTCTACAGTTTAAAAAAGCATACTAATAGCACACTTGAATTACCTTTTTTTTGTAGGGGTAGCAACTTGCTAAAAACACTTGAACTGCATAGAAATGCCATTGCAACTACCCATTACACCCTTGCAAACATACAGCAACATGCAATATTACATATTTTCCTAGAATTGTGGTGGTAAATTGTACATTTTCTCCAGAAAAATATTAAAAATAAATGTAGTTCTGAATTTGTCAACAATATAGATCAACTATTGTCTCACTTATTTCTATTTTTAATTTCTTCTGTGCAATTTTAGGAGAAACATGAGATACTTGAAAATAAGTGAGAATGGCGTCCGTCAGTCTACTCTACACAATACCAAATCCTCCCTTGAACAGATGTAACAATCCTTCTTACTGTCAATGCAATATTATCTAAGGAGACGTTTTAATCAACCAGACTTTAACGGCTTTCCAAAAAATGTGTCATTTTGAGGTAAGACGGACGGGGCATAAGGGTCGACTGCAGATGAGGATCAGCATACAAACGCAAACACACACTTTGAAGGCCATAAGCCCAGGATAGGTGAAAACATGTGACCATATCACATGATCAAAACTCTCACAGAAAAAAAAAAAAAAAGTTTCACTTCAACATGTTCACCAAGACAAAAAGGCCCTTTTGAAAGTGAGCTTGTATTGGAAACTTCAATGGAGGGAGAATTTTCGAATGACACAACGGTCACTATCATGACACTATTCAACAACAACAGCAGGTCGTTTCGTGTGTAATGCATCATTACACATGCACAGTACTTTACAGTTTCAGTTTTCAATCCGAGCAAGTGTTTACATATCCTGGTGAATGGATTAGAAAAGGCTTAAACCACCCCTTCCAATCCCAATGAAATTTTAATCGCATTTGGCCAATTCATTCAAACTGACATCAATTCCGAATTCACTACTAGTCCGATTAAAATGATGGTCCATGTAAACGCAGCTACTACCAGCTTTTGTAAGCAGCTGCTCTATGTCTGACTTAGAAAAGAGTAGTATGATTGTGATTGAAAGTTATTTTACATTTATAAGGATGCCTGAATTATGCTTTGCCTGACATTTTAAAGTCAGCACGATGGATTTTTCTTCCCTAATGTGACATATATATGAGTGAAACGGCTTCTCGAACAAGAAAAAATTAAGGGCGGGACTTCATTTTAACTTTTCTTTAAATTTAGATTTCAAATGAATGTGCTCAGCAACAGATGCCAGAGCTCAATGGGATCACCAGGGTCAGCGAGCTGAGCGTCCCTCAGAAAGCTAAATCTATCATAATCTTACCTAAGACCAGTTTTGTCCAGTTCAATTGATCCACAACAACTGCGTTGCAAAAGTAAATCAGTGATCTTTTTTATATAGATGTTCATAAGTATTGATACCAAGGATTGAAGCGCTCTAGAGACTCACCTCACTATTGATTTTAACCCTCTGGAGACTAAGCCCTTTTTGGTCCGTTTTCTCTGTTTTTACATTTGGCCTTATAAACTATATGTAATGAAGATGGAACACTATGGCTGTGTCCGAAATCTCCACTCAAACCACTACTCGAGTAGAGCACTATATAGTGAGCTCACCAGCATAATAGAAACACCACTTTCGGACACTACTCGATCGTCTCTCGGCGCCGTTGATTACGTCATTGCTGTCGCCCCTCCGTCTTTTTTTACGATCAGCGCAATGCATGATGGTATGTAGGGCTTGGGTTAGTGACCATCGGTTGTACTCTACTTTTCAAAATGCATTCTGGGATACATTGAGTGGACTATATAGGGTGTAATAATCATCACCATACATTCGGACAGCACTACAAAATGGCAAGGTCACTATATAGTCCACTATATAGTGAGTAGTGGGAGATTTCGGACACAGCCTATGTGTTTGGTATCTATGGATTCAGAAGACCCTAAGCTAACATAAGCATGCATGTAATGTGTTTATAAAGGAAGTATGAGTGAAAAATTTACAATATACTAGAGAATTTCAAAAATGGAAATTCGATTTTTGTCATTTATTTCTGAAAATCACACAACAATAGTGAACAGTTTTTGAGCAAAAAATATATTTGTCAAAGCCTTTGCTTGGCAGACATGTGTAATTGTTAAATAAAATGTGTAAAGAACAATGAAAAATCTAACTTTATTTACAAATAGTCCCAGGCGATTTTCGCGATTAATCGCATCACAAAATAAAAGTTTGTGTTTACATAATATATGTGGGTGCACTGTGTATAATTATTATATATATATAAATACACACACGTATATTTATGTATATTTGTATATTTAAGAAAAAAAATATTATTTATATATAAAATATTTATATCTATATATAATATAAAATATATATAAATCTATATACAGTACATGAAAATATTTCTTAAATATATGCAAACATGTGTGTGTATTTAAAATACACAGTTCACCCGCACATATTATGTAAACAAACTTTTATTTTGGATGCGATTAATCGCGATTAATAGTTTGACAGCCCTAATATATATATATATATAATTCTTCTGTCTCTCTCTCATATAAATCTCATCGCGCTATCGCTCCGTAAAGCCTTGTTTATACTCGACACATCCGTTCGCTTTCTGTCGTCTCCTCCACCACTCGACGCTGTTTGCGTCATATCCCTTACTATATAGTCCCACCCCTTGCAAGGCTACAGAGTCCTCCGATTTGCTAGAATACGTCATGGTAACCTTCCCCTGATTGGGTAAGAAAAATATTTCTCCATCGGCAATTTTTCCATTGGTTGTTGCACGTGAATCTGCCCAACAACATCGATTTCATTGGCCTTTGACGGTGTGTATACAAGTCAGGTATCGGTTATCACTGTTTTCAGCGGAATCTGAGGAAGACGGCAAAAAAGGCCGCACCTCTCTATCATGAATAGTTTTTAAAATAAGTACACATAATTATGTAATTTTGGGCGGTACCGCCCAATCCGTCCCCAGGGGGTTAATAGAGTTTGATATTAGAATGTATCTTTCAGTATTCAAACGCAATTTTTTTTATCCAAACCAATAACGATGACAGTGACATCGCCACAAAACTGTTCAGCTGTGTCCTCATGATGTTGTGTCGTAGACCAACTTACCCCACCCTCCTCCAACATGGAGCAGCGCTGATGCTTGCTACTCATCCTCCTAACATACATCAGCTCACAGGAAGCCAGGTCTTCATTCAGCATGCTCTTCCCAGCATTTATCACCCTGAGAGAGACACAAAATTATTAGTGTCATTTATTTATTCTCCTATATGTGTGTACAAGTAGGAGAACACCTATTTTACAGCTAAATATCATTTCTATTATGATGGCAGTCTAACATGAAGAGAAACATAAGCCATTATTTCCCAAATCTGGATTTTAAAAAGCCATACTCTTCCTAATCTGCTGAGAGCAGTAAGATGCTTCAGAGGCCACAGTCATGAGATCTGATGAGATATTTATATAAATGTAAGGGGTTTCTTTTCAAAATATTCAATATTTCTTCTACAAATCCCTACGCGCTAATAAAAAATGTATAATTATGTACATTTGTCTGTCAAATCATACATCATATACACACACATATATAAAAATACACACATTTTGAGAGAAAAAATGTTAGCTAAGATGCATTTCAACCAACCTACTTTAAGCATACTTAAAATTGGGATGTTGGAGACGTACTTCAAAAGATTTTTGAGCAATATACCCATAACAATAATCCAAGCATAATAGTACATCATTATGCTATACACTCTTTTTTTTTCGTTTAGAATCAGCTGACAAAGCCCCACTGTAGCTACTTTCAAAAGAGGAAGTGTCTCATTGTAGCAACTCAAGTTCCTTCTTCTGAAGGTACAATTTCTTTACTTCTGCCACATTAGGTTTCAACATAATGTGATTTCTTTAAATGAAAGTAACACACATTAATGGAAGAGAAGCACAACCGTTGTGGATGCAAAAGAAAAAGAAAGCAGAACTAACTAACTTAATTATCTGTGGAAAATACAGAGTAGAGCAAAGAGCTGAAGTCACAAAACAACCCTTTATTAGAAAGGCTTACCACCACTAGTGTTATTCTCTCAGACCAAACAACTAGCAACAAGCAACTAGCATTTCCTGTCTCAGGTGACTGGTTAACTGACAATGGTTTCCTTTCTCAGACCCTCTCATTTCATTTATCCTTCTGAAAACATTTTAGGGTCAGGTTTGGCTGATTAGCTAGACCAGAGCTACACCATTCTGTAGGAAAAAAGCATTTCTATTCATATAAAAAAAATCTATAAGCAGTTTTTCCAGTGGATATTTGATAATTTTAAGGAGTGATTAACTCACATGGCATTTTAAAAAACTGATGCTTGATGGTGTGCATTAGATTAGTAAACTCTAAATGTGAAAAAAGTAAGTTTCACATTGTTAGTCTGAAAATCTGAGAAGAGTTTTATTAATGCAGTTAATAAAGTTTAAAACATAGGCTACACTAGCATCAAATATCCTTCCTCAAGCAATAACCTTCAATGTCCTTTAAGAAAATATAATTATTTGCATTTATAAATGCATTTAGCTGTATCTTAGCATTCCAGTGAGCTCAGAAGAGAGATGCAGTTTCAATACCATATAACTCGAAAAACCTGATGAGCAATTCTTCACCTCCACCCACTGTGCTTAATAATAGAGAATAAATGGGCACTTTTTATGGCACTGTTTATCTTGAATTGTGCCTCCTATCTTACTGTAGTTGTCAAGTAGATTAAGAAATATGAAAAGCAAAGAGTATCCTATTTGACTGATTAATATTGTTTGCAGTTTGCACCGACCCATCCTTCAATATCCACACAGAAATGTGCCATACAAACAGTTTAGGTCAAACTTGAAATGACAATGAAATTCTTAATGCAAAAGTGTATTTTTTTTATTGTCTAGATTTTACCGTACAAATAAGGCAAAGTGCAGTGTCAGCAAGCTAATTAAAGCGGTCATTGAAGTCAGTAAACTCATCTAAACTCAGTAACAGACTTGCTGGTTGTTGGGCGACTAAAAGATTAAAAGTGTTGAGTCGATAATTATAGTTCACTTGCACATACATGTATTGACATGAATTCATCTATTGTGGTGTGGGTGAATGCTGGATCTGCTTGACTTTGCCAGCTTGGCAGCACCATGTTCATAGAAAGCCAATCTACATGAGCCACAGTGGTTGACTCAGTAATATCTTAGAGAATAAGTGTGTGTTGGGGGATCTGAAGAGTCTGTAGTTGCCATTAATCTACAGCCAACAACGTGTCTTTGAGAGACCAACAGAGTTTTAAAGTCAACATGAAACAGAAGTTATGATCATCTTTTCTTTCTTGTTGTCATGTATATCCAAATAAAACGGCGTCTTGTACAAGAAAAAAATGTAGGGCGGGACTTGATTTTGACCATAGGGAACTGATTGCGGTTTGCTATTGGTCGATCTTATGTGAGTGACAGGTTGCCCCGCCCTCACGTCAATAAACATGTCATCAGAGAAGAGATGCAAGTGGGAGGGGAAGTTCTTCTGATTGAAGGATATGAGGGTACATGAATAATGATGGATAAATTAGTAATTAAAGGTTCTCTAAGCGATGTCGGGTGATGTGACTTCTTGTTGACGTTTCAAGTATTTTCAAACAAAACGGATGCTAGATAGACCCTCCCTCCTCCTCATCTGCACTGACCCCCCAAACCCCACCCCCAGGGCCTTCTTGTCAGTTATTGGCTGGAACAGTTTGTTATGTTTCAAGGAGCGGGTTGCCGCAGTTTGTTTTTGTTGCCATTTGTGGAGCCTGCGTTGTCTGCATAGACCGCGTTTTTTACAGTGTGTTTAGGGGACAGGCAACTAGCAGATAGTGAGGAGATGTTTGCTGTATGTGACAAAAAAAGGTTTGGGCCTAAAAAACGTGTGACATCGCTTAGAGTACCTTTAATGACACAATCTTTATTTTTGCAAGCACTGTCCCTTAAAGGGATAGTCCACTTTTTTTGGAAATAGGCTCATTTTACCACTCGCCCAGAGTTAAACAGTTGGGTTTTACCATTTTCAAATCCATTCAGCCGATTTTCTGATATTTAGAAGAATATAAGTAACCAGACAGTTTCTGGTCTATTAGTATATTTTTTCCTACTATGGAAGTCACTGAGACCAGAAACTGTCTGGTTACTGATATTCTTCTAAATATCAGAAAATCGGCTGAATGGATTTGATAACTGTAAAACTCAACTGTTTAACTCTGGGAAAGTGGTAAAATGAGCCTATTTCCAACAAAAAGTGGAGTATCCCTTTAAGACTGTGTATCAAGAACTAGTCTGACCAACTGTCTAGAAGTTAGCTGTTATCCGTCATATTTTTTGGATTCAAATGTAACTGACTTAAAGGGGTACTTCACCTCTGGAAAGATGAATATGTATTTAAAATGGGTCATTAATGTAGAAGAAATTATTATAAGGTGGAGCTTTCTAGACTTTCTAGACATGAAAGACAACAACTCCCAGAATGCACGTGCTTCACTGCCCTAGGAGGCCACGCCTACCAGTAACAGCGCAGTATTTAAACAACAAGTCTAGGCTACTAGTGAGTCCCTGTGATGAGTCTGCCCGAAAATGTGTTTCGAGATCGCCCAAAATGTCCGGGATTCGGCTTTTGCGTTCTACAGTCGCCGTTCATTGTTTACTGTGGCGAGCGGGACGAGTGAGGGCTGCGGGAGAACGAAGCAGGATTATCGATGAGTGACACCTGTAAGACGCACCGGTCTCGTATCTCTCACGGAGGAGCGGGAATTTTCTTAGCAATGTTAAAGCGCACATCAACCGATCACTTGTTTAGCGTTCATGTAAACACTACATTCAGATTCACCAATCAGAATGAATTCAGTTAGATTGTGCATGTAAACAATGAATGGCGACTGCAGAAAACAAAAGCTGAATCCCGGACATCGACGGCCGGACATGTCTGGAAAAAGGGGATGGTAACACCTACTACTCAGCTTTCACAGAACAAGAGCCTGCTAGCTTAGCTTCCAAAAAAAAAAAAAAGAAGATGGCTGACACTATGTGTAATCCCAATCCTCCATATTGCATCCGTCTGCATATTCAGTAGCTTCGTCCATATTTTTAAAAAGTTTCTGCTGGTGAAATCAAGACGCACTGGCACTGATCTGTGATTGGTCTGTTAGCGCATTAGCCCCAACCCCTTATGGGCGGGTTTGAAAGGGTGGGATCTAGTGCTTGTAGTCTTTACAGAAATCCCCCCAGAAATCCCCAAAATACGATTTTTGCATCATTGTAGGAGGAAGTGAAAAAGTTAAATAGCGGATTTCTCTCATCTCAGGGGAAAATGAGAGAGCATGTCCATTCAATAGTATGACTGGCTTTCTAATAATGGAAAGCTTAATGCAAATGGGTGGAGTGTCCCTTTAAAATTATGACCTGTCTTAAAGACTAAAGACTGCTGTAGTGGTCTGACTCTGAAGCCTTACTGGGAACCAGACTATTTTGAATCTAAAGAATCGGTTGCTCCAGTTTATAAAACCTATTTGAATGATTCATTTATGAATCAAACTGATATGGCTCCATGATTCAAATGATCTGGTTAACATCTCACTGCAGGAAAAGACTATCAATGAAGATTAACTTCAATTTTGGTGTATTTGGTCCGTCTTCTTCAGAACATATCACACACGACGTGTGGAATACCTCCACGATACTTGCATGGGCCTTTTGCTTCCTCCTCACAGCTTGAAAGCTTTAGCCTTAAATTACCTGTAATTGCATGGAAAACAGCAACTATACAATCTTTTCTTTTTGTGTTTTTCTAGTAGCACATTTTACTCCATAAATCACGTTAGAAGTAAAATGTGAAGAATGTTTCATGTTGACTTGTTGAAAATCGAGGATTATAAAAACTTTTACCTGTTTGTTAGCCTGTGTATGTGAGCATATGCTAATGCTAACAGCTAAAAAGTATTTTTGTTTCCACACTTAAGAAATTATGCTCAGTTTCAAATGCTGTCATCACGCGGCCCCTGACAAAGTTCTCCTCTTGTACTTTAGTTAATAATAGATGAAATAACCAGAGGCTAACTGGGCATATTTTAGCATCATGGGGGCCTGTTTTCTCTCTAACTCTTCTTCACACTGGGGCTGGGCGCTCTCTATATGAGTCACATAAATATGGCAATTTATCCCAAACCACCTAACATTTATAATCATTAATTTGAGGGCATGACTCCAGACTGCATCATCTCACTGACTTTGATCTTGGGCCACTTATGCAAGTATGGTCTTGATCTTCACTCAAAAGATCACGCCTGATCACGCCTGGCGAAAGTCAGGATTCTCATCCCTTTTTACCAATACATTTCTATGACTTTTCTATTTGCTTATAAATAATGAATTTTATGCTCCAGTTGCTAAAATGTATACACTGATAATGCAGTTGTATTTTTATCAGAAATGTTTTTACCAAAAAAGTCCTTTATCACACATCAATAACATCCTAGTTGTTCCAAACCTGTATGAATCTTTTTCTTCTGAAAATAATATATTTGAAGACCAAACAGTTGATGTTAGCCATTGACTTCCATTGTATTTTTCCCTCCATACTATGGAAGTCAATGCCCACTGAGTGTCAACTGTTTGGTTACCCACAATCTTCAAAATATCTACTTATAATTTTTTGGGTGAACTATCCCTTTAAATATACCATCATTCAAACATGACTTGAATGCATTAATATGATGCCCTAATGCATCACTGGAGCTCAGGACAATGTTCCCAGGTGTCTCCCGTGACAGCAGCCCAGAAGCTGAGCATTAACTAGACAAATTCCTTTATGTTCTTATACATTTCCATGACTCTTGTCTTTTAGGCCTGGTGCAGCTTGCTTTTTAAAGCTGTATGTTGTCTCAGATGCACAGCAGGTAGCGAGAACACACTGTCCTGTGGTAAAAAAGTACTCACTGTACTGTGGTAAAGATGCATTCAATGACTACTATAGGGTCTCCATTAGTAAAGCTATACATGTATAACCTGAAATATGCAGCTTTTTATATTCAGATGCAAGATTCATTCACGTGAACTGTAAGCTGCGTCATCATCCGTGCAGTTACAACACATTTCAGTGAAAACATTCCAACATTCCAGCTGACTCTAGAGCGCTTAGAGGAGGATGAGGATGGTGATGATGATAATGAGCCATTGCCCTTGGTTAGGTGTGACATATAACCTTCCTCAGTAATGACGTCACGTCAACCGTACCATAAACCAACAATTCATGGTATGCGCATCTTAGACATACAAAAACACGACTCACTCCGCGTATCCCGTTCGCCAAGGCAGCCTGCTGTCTCTACTGAGCGTGATGACCGGTCTGGACGCGTGTTCGGTGGAGTACTGCAGCAGCTCCGGGGTCAGGTCCAGAAACTCGGGGCGGCCGTAGGGGAAGCGCGGCGGGAGCCCGTCCGTGCCGCCGTTCTGCGCGGATCCGTGCGGATGGCTGTGCGGGATAATTCCCCCCACCAGGGAGGACATGGCATTTTTAACTTTGCTTATCATCGCAATGAAATATGTGACATCAGCGGCGCGCGAGGAACGGCGATCTTAACAATATAATAACACTACACGATCCAAGCGGTAAAAACGAAGTAGTTCAGTCGCGATGCAGGAAGCGATTGACCCCATGTGACGATTTGACAGAGAATGTTTTCCTCGTCGAAAAAAAAGAATCGTCTCCCTGCAGAGTGTGTGTGTATCATCACCGAGAGGCTTATATCCGCCTATGGCACGGAAGATGTAAGCGCTGCCTACACTATAGCACTCTCAGCCGGCAGCCTGTGAATGTACACTACACACACCGTCCGAATTATACAATGCCTACCGAGGGGACAACTATTATAAAGGAATTTCGTCTTTTTTTAATATTTTTTTTTATTATAATAAATTTAACAGATACATTTTAAACCCTATACTGTGTCATCTACTGTATATCCGTGTTAATTGTTTTTAATTAATTAATGTAGCCTATTCAACTTATTAGAGCACTGTCATTTTTGCTACAACCTACCATGTCAATAAAACATAAAAGTACCTATAGTTGACACAACATGCTGATTTATTAAATGTAAAATATGTCAAATGTAATGTAAACAAAACCCAATAGAGGCAACAGACTAGGCTGATATAAAGGAATAAAAAACAATATTAATACAGAAAAATCATTTTAATGACAATAAATATTGTAGAACAGGTTATAACACCATTAAGGTCCTAAGCAAAACTTTCAAAGCATGGTTCTTTATGGAACCTTATAAAAAGGGTTCTACTTACACTCTAAAAAGTTTAACCATGGTTTACATATTTTTTTTTTTTTGGTGAAACATTTTTACACTTTATATATATATATATTATATATTAATATTGATATGGCGCAGTGGATAAGACACAAGCCTTTGGTTTGAGAGACAATATTTTATATATATATATAGTTGTTGTTGATTTAATTTAAGCAGTGAAATAAATTACATACACTGTATGAACTGAGTAAATATAAGTAAAAAATTAAGTAGATCTGAGAACTGCATTTGGTACATTAACAAATAAAATTGAGTAAAACCATATTAAAAAAAAACAATATGTATGAGTAATATCAACTGTTTTTATTTTTGAGTAATATTAAGTTTTTCAATTCCTTTAAACCTTTGTAAAAAATATTCCACACAACCACCGGTACATGACATTGGCCTTTATTGTCGATGAGTACAGCAATAACGTTTTAGCATAAACAATATTGCCTACATATAATCTCATGTAACAAACATTCGATGTTCAGAGATTTTATCAAGTTAATAAAGTTAACTATTACGGTGATATTTACTAAGCACTGAATTATTTTTTAGAGTGAAAGGGTTCTGCTATTGTTACAAGCCGAAGAACCCTAATTTGGTTTAGCTTCTTAAAGGGATACTCCTCTGTTTTTTCATTTTAAACTATGTTATTCCCTTAACTAAGATGAGTTGATACATACCATTCTTGTCTCAGTGCGTGCGCTCAATCGCTCTGGCGCGCGAGACACTGTAAAAAATGATCGTGATTTTAGCGGTAAAACTGTAAAAATGCTACAGTGCAAAACTGTTAATTGGTAAACAGAATGTTTCCTTATACTATGTATGCTAAATCACTGTGATAGATCTAAATGGTACATTTAATGTAATTTTACTGTAAAATACCGTTAGATTTACAGTTTTTGGAAATGAAAAAGAAAAACTCATTGTATAATTTACAGTGAAATTCACTGATGTATTTTTGTTGAAATAACTGTTTCTTCATAGTTTAGGGGTTTTTTTTATTCAGTTATGTGCATTAAGGTTTTATGTACATGCAAATGTTGTTAAATTAGTGTCTATTGCATTTTTTTAATTTACCATAATGGTGATTAATGTTGTGCGAATGACACTGTGCAGCTTCTAAATAGCAGGTCTAACAATTTTGTTAGCTGCTTGTGTTGAGCTTTGATTGATCATGTGACTCTCATCACTATTGTGATTGGTGGTTTTCAGTGTATTACAATAGTACAAAACAGATATTAGTACTTAAATATGTCTGTAAATTAACATTATGTCAGATAATGTAATACGATATGTTACTGTAAATTTTATGTTAAGTCTGTAAAACCACGGTAAAGTTCTGGCAACCACAGCAGCCGGTTACCGTAAAAATTATGTTTTATTTTTTACAGTGTAGATTACATAGCAACACCCTAGCATCATGGGGGAAAGCACTCACATTTTTTTTTCGGAAAACGTAAAAAATCTATTGTTACTATCACGGTAACTTTTTTTTTTTACATTCATCTATTTATTTTATCTATATAATCTTAAGAGTGTGCCTGCTATTGTTCAGGATGTTGCTTTATCTCCATCCCTTCTCTCTCAGCTTCTCTTCGCACTCAAAATGAAGCAGGTACTTGAAAACAATAATCTTTGAGTGATATCAGCAGTATTATCATAGCAATGATTGCCCACAAGAGTAATTAACATTTAGTTGCCTAGCAGACATCTTAATGTGGAGAGCAGCTCTTCCACCTCTTCACAGTCAGAACACATTATCTTTATGTTAATTCATCTCATTCGTTTGGGGCCAGTATGCAAAACGATCAAATTATGTGAACATCCAAGGAATATTTCATCTAAATAAGTAAACAAACAAACCTATACATGAAATAATGAATTAATAAATATACAAAATGAAAGATAAGACAACAGGAAATCTGCCATGTTTGCTCATGGACAGTAAGTTCTGGACCCCCATTTTTAAAGCCAATTATTAATCACTGAATAATTTAAATTTCAGTTTGTTCATCAAAGCTGCTTTATTACAAAACTTAATAAGACTTGCAATATTGCACAATATTATTACTCATGTAATATTACACTGATTTTAGTAGTTCTAGCTCTTATTCCAGCATATACAATTAAATCAACATTTGTTTTTTTTTAATTTACACTAAAAGATTGTTTCTCGCTTGTTTAATTTTTTTAGTTTATTCAATTACAAAAAAAATGAGCAAACACTTTACAATAAGGTTGAATTTGCATCAGCACAGAAAAAATGATTTCTGAAGGATCATGTGACACAAATTCAGCTTTGCATCACAGAAATAAATTATTTTTAAAAGCATATTCAAACAGAAAAACATTAGGCCTATTTTAAATTGTAATAACATTTCACATTATTACTGTTTTTGTTATTGGAGTTTTTTTTTATCAAATAAACGAAGGCTTGATGAACATAAGAGACTTCTTTAAAAAAAAACATTAAAACTTTTGACCTAATGTAGGCTAATGCTGAGAATAAATTGTATTAAAACTACAACAACTACTTTCTTAAATGAACTCATCACAGTATAAAATAAATAAGATCAAAAAGTTGACAACATATGTTTTCACATTGCTTTAACCAAAATAGGTTAAGCCATTTTCAACTTTTATAAGTTAATGAAGATTCAACACATTTTCTTTTGGTTGTCAGTTAATGTAATTTAAGTTGAAATGACTTAAACATCCAAGTTGCTTGTACTTCATTTTTTTTTTTACAAGATGTTTATAACATTTACTCTGAAATGGTAGATTTAAAAAAAACAAAATTCAAAAATTGAAACATTTTCCATTATAAAAACAAAAGAAAACGGTAGATAAAACATTTCATTCACTCATGAATCACTAAAGTGTTCCAGAACTCTCTCATTCTAAGCTAAAGACTGACATCTACTGGCTCTCACGTGAAATTGCAAGCATTTGCCCAAACAACAACAACAACAACACCAACACAGAATTTGACTATAAACCTTGCTATTACAATTTCTGTGTCATTGTTCTGAAAATCATACATGTTTATTTTCCATCATGCTAAAACATTGATTTTCCAGAGGAAATGAAAGCTTTGTATCAACCATTGCTGACGATAACAGGTTATATTGAGAGAATCTATTGATTAAAGTGTAAATGAACACAGTAATGTGTACATAGCCCCCCCCCCCCTCTCTCTTTCCACATTACACTTCAATTTAGTTTCAAAGCTCAAGACAAGCTGCATTCATCCAGTCACAGAGGAGGCCCTTTGAATTTGGATGATTTTTTTTCGAGCCATCTTATTTTGACGCAATAGCTGTACCCTAGACTGGACTAGGCAAGGCAAGGCAAGGCAAGTTTATTTATATAGCACATTTCATACACAGTGGCAATTCAAAGTGCTTTACATGGAAGAAATTAAAATAATCAAAAGAAATCAGAATAATTAAAACAGTTTAGAATAAAAAAAATCATAATAATAAAAATAAAATACAGTATCAAAAATAAAATGAAGTACAGTAACAGTCGGACGAACAGTGGCACAGTGCTCATTCAGTAAATGCAATAAATAAATAAATAAATAAAAACAGTTAAGAGTAAAAATAAAATAAAATAAAGTAATACCCCTATCTACACTTTAGTCTTCCTGGATGTGAGGTTTATTTATTTATTTTTACACAAAATCAGGGTTTTTGCTAAAAGTCACTTTCTAAAAAAGGGGTGAATTGTGAACAAAATTAGTGAAAGCAAGGTGGTGCATGTTTCAGAAACATTTCTTCTGCCACATCTTATTAGGTCAAACTAAATATTTTATGAACTCCATCCATCTATTTTCCAACCCCCCTTTCCTATGTAGGGTTCTAACATACTGTCCTAAGTGCTGGAGTCTATCCCATCTCGGCCCAAAGGTGCGGGGAAAACATCTGGATGGACGCTATTAAATTTAAGATTTATATATTTGAATTACAAATAAAATGTTCATTAATTACACTGTTTTAACATTAACAAACTATTAAGCTTAAAGTGTTGCATATTTATCGGTCATGCATAAATGAAAACGATAATAAACAGGTAAGATTTCTACTGGCAAAAATCATGCATAGTTTATTGTTAACTTTGCATCTATTTGATTTAATCTAAAAAAAATATATTTATTTAAATTGCTTAGAGCAATCAGCATGAATCTGTTCCTTTTATTCAGTTAAAGTATGAACATGGTTCAATTATGGATGTGGAACAAGCAATATTCATTAGTTAAAATGCATTTATTGATGATAAATAAACCTGGTTATTTTGTATTGAAAATACGTTCAGTTTATTAGTACTATTACAGAAATCTTACCTGTTTCATTTATGACTGAAATATGCATCACATTAAGTTTATTAGTTTGTTTATAATAAAACTGTAATCCAAATGGATGGAAGTAATGCAATTCAAATACACAAATCTTAAATTTCAGTCTAAATATGTTTTG